TAAGATGTTCTGGCTCTAAACAGTGATGTTCTATTTGGCAATCATGGCATATGGGTTTATGCAACCCTTCCCCCTATTAATTTATCAAATACAGTTTTTAAAAAGCACACCTGCCACCACCAATCAGCTTAACATTTCCATGTCACAGCTTCCATGTCAAGATGACTTTAAATCCAATTTATTTATTATTATTTATTTAAAACATTTATACTCCGTCCTTCTCGACCTCTGCAGAGGGACTCAGAACGGCTTCCAAACGGGCAACAATTCGATGCCAAACGTAATATAAAACACATAATAAATACATCTACAAAATTAAAATAATTCTAAATATACATTAAGAACCCACTCGCCAGATTAAAATCACCAGTGCAGCTATAGGAGGAAATGTTAGAATTCTGGATTGTACTACTGCTTTGTAAGCTTGCATTATGTAATGCTCCTCATATTTGAAAAAGTTCCTTTTTAATGGAGAACTCTAGCACCTGAGACAATATGTTTATTTTCTAAGTTTCAGGGAGCCTCAATTAGGTTGGTTTTTTTTAACTTGGGGATATATTAAAAGAACATAATCCATCAAGTTTGAGGCCTACTGTGGTCTGTTTTGCAACTTCTGGGGTGTTCTGCAGGTTGAGATAAAAAAAAGTGGTGGTCTTAGAGTTTTGGTGCCAAACTGGAAGCTACTGACTGCCAGTCTGTGGTGTTTCCTCAGACTGCAAAGAAAGTATTGTAGTCAGTAGCACATATGTGATGCTAGTCCCTGATACACTGGAGAAAAATCCCTGCCAATTCCCACATCTGTTAATTTAAGAAAAACTGAACTAGAATAAGGCATCCACTGAAAATGGAAACTGCCTACTTCCTTCTGTTTCTCCTGAGTATCTTATATTAGATGGAAACTTTGATTTTGATAATAAGTGCAAAAAAACAGGACTTGGCTGCAAAATAAAGGCCAGTTCAACCTCCACTGGTTCTCCTCTGGTTGTCTCTGCATTGTGTTATTCCAAATACACTTAAGATGAGAGGGCAGCATTCAGAATGGGAAGACTTGCAAAGTTTCCAAGAGGAGGGAAAATCAGATTTCCCCAAAGCTCCGAGTGACTGTCTGGAAGCTTCGAAAGCTGAGCTGGCAAGGGCAGGTGGTTGCACAGCTGCGCCATTTGGATCATGCGCTCACATCAATATTCATGAGGCAGCCTGGCCAATCAGCAGAGTAGCTGTCATTAGTGAGCATCTGGCTAGTGTGAAGAGGTTTGTTCTGCGGCTTTTTTGTAGGTTTTTTTTAAAGTGAACTTCTTTTGACATTTTGAGAATTTGCCTCAGTGGGTTTCCAAATCCTCTTCCCCCTTCCTCCACCTGTGCATTTGGCTCAATCCCCCCCTTTTGCCACTTGCAAGGCCTAAAAGTGTCCTGGGATGGAGAGCTGCAACCCAGGAAAAGTTAAATGGGGGAGAGGAAGAAGTTTCCACTACTACCGCACTGCAATTCTTTACAATAATGAGTGCTCCCCCTAGTATTATATCAGCTGCAGCAGCTTTACTCCTTCCCACGTTCCTCCATGAACTCAAGACCTCCCTAAGGACAGCAACACTGGAGCCTCACAAAATCTCTTCCGCAGCCTTTTGCACATCACTGGACTTCTGATGGCACCACAAAGGCATCACATCTGTACGGCAACCGCTCTCAAGCAGTTGACAAAAAGCACAGAAGCCTAAACATTTACATAGATGGTGTACCACATGTTGAAATCACTTTATGCAAATTCTCTCATTATTTCTGACAGCTTTCTTAGTAAAGTAGAACATTCTACTTATCCTCAGTATAGAACAGACTATCAGAAATACTAGCTTTTATATAGAACTAGCTGTACCTGTTGCATGTTGCTGTGGCCAATCATCCCTCCCTCTTTCTTTCCTTCTTTCCCTCTTCCCTTCCTTCCTTCCTTCTCCCCTTCCTACCTTCTCTACCTCTTTCCTTCCTTCCACTCCCCTTTTCTTCCCCCATTTCTTTCTCTCCTTTCTTCCTTCTCTACCACTTTTTTTCCTTCCTTCCTTCTCTTTTTCCTGCCATTCATTTCCTGGTCCCAATTCAAGGTGCAGGTGCTTACCTACAAAGCCCTAAACGGTTTGGGACCCGCCTACTTGCATGACCGCATCTCTGTGTACGAACCCACACGATCTCTTCGTTCATCTGGAGAGGCCCTGCTCACGATCCCACCTGCATCGCAAGCGCGATTGGTGGGGACGAGGGATAGGGCTTTCTCGGTGGTGGCCCCTCGACTTTGGAACTCTCTCCCTAAGGACATCAGACAGGCCCCGTCGCTAGCAATCTTTAGGAGGAGCTTGAAAACGTGGTTGTTCCAGTGTGCCTTCTCAGAATAAGGAAACTCCTAGCATTATGTCCCAACGCACTTTATCAGAGATCTAGGATATCTGCATGCCCATCCCCCTTCAAACACTCCACCTGGTCACGCCCAGCCCTTTTTAATTTTAATTATTACATTTGGCCTGCCATTGATTTTAATTGTGTCATTGTGTGTTGTTAATGTTATTGCTTTGTTTTTTGAATTATTTTGTTGCTGTTGTTATTGTTTTTACTATTGTATTTGGGCTCGGCCTCATGTAAGCCGCACCAGGTCCTTCGGGAGATGGTAGCGGGTTACAAATAAAGGATGATGATGATGATGATGATTATGATTATTATTATTATTCCTTCTTTCCTTTTCTCCCTCTTTCTCTCCTTTCTTCCTTCTCTACCACTTTTTTTCCTTCCTTCCTTCTCTTTTTCCTTCTTTCCTTCTCTCCCTCTTTCTCTCCTTCTTTCCTTCTCTCCTTCCTTCCCTGGCAGTGGATGAGGGCTCCCCCGTCGTCGGACCCACCATTGTACCGTCCATTCCTAGCTCCTGATCTGGCCAGAAGAGGGAAGATGGTCAACAGTGCCTCTTGCGCTTGCTGTGTCCTCACGCAGGAGTGGGCGGGGCCATGGAATTCATTTGCGCGCATGCGCTGTGTAGTTTTCTGCCTTTTTTATTTTAAAGTTCTTTTCACTGTTTTTTTGGTGATTTTTTAGTGATGGTCACTCCTTGGGTTAGTAGGTGCCTTGTAGCCAAATTTGGTGTCAGTTCGTCCCGTGGTTTTTGAGTTATGTGTGTCCCACAAACGAACATTACATTATATATATATACACACACATACTAGCTGTCCCCTGCCACGCATTGCTGTGGCCCAGTCTGTGTATATATGTTTTGTGTGTGTGTATATGTGTGTATATATTTATGTACATATATGTTTGTGTGTATATATATGTGGTTTTGTGCATGTATTGTAATGCATTTTTTATTTTTTGGCTTTTTAAGTTTCTTCTGCCGTGTTTTTCAGTCCAGATGTTTTGATTGCAATTCTCATAATCCTTCACTAGGAGCTATAATGGATAGGGCTGCCAGCAGTTGCAGGCCAAAAACATCCAGAAGGCCAAATTGCCTACCTCAGTTTTCCTAGTTCGCATATATTACTTCATATAGGGTCTACTGAAACTGTAAAGCAGAAAAGAGAAGTGATAACTGTTGAGTTTCATCCCTGTACTGCACAAGTATCTTGTGTCATCAAGTCTCAAGGTCTCAATGAGTAGCTAAACTAGAGATAGGATTCCTGTGCATTTTTACCAGACAGGGCTTTGTCTTTCCTCCTCCTGCTAGCCACTGTATACTCCCCCTTTGAAGATGTAGCAATCGAATCTCTGTGAGGGAACTTCCTTTTTAAAGGTATTTTTATTGCCACGGGCTGGCCATGTGGCCATTCACCGCCAATGTTTCTTCTGCCTTTCCTTCCTTCCAGAGAGGGTGCACATTTTGCCTCTCTCTTTAGGCAAAATGTAGCTGCATGGATTTTTTTTTTTTGCCTTTTACCTTCTTAGAAGATTAGGTTTAGTAAGCTAGTTAGACCTTTTCTATCTAGAATGTATTTCTTTTACTTCAATAAATATTTTTGGAAGCTAAAGTTCTGACTCTGCAATCTTGTGTCATCCTAAGGAATAGAAGCTTATCTCAGCTCGTCACATGTAAATTTCTGCTGGTTATGAAGTTTGTTTCTAGTACTCTGCCATATTTATGGTGGAATCACCCCATTTGAGGGTTATTTATGAGGCTTAATTGTTTGTTTGTTTGTTTGTTTGTTTATTTATTTATTTACTATATTTATATCCCGCCTTTCTCGACCCCGAAGGGCGGCTTACAGCGGAGGCAAAATTCAATGCCTTAAACAATTTAACAGTTAAATAAACATTCCGTTAAAAATCTAAATAAGGTTAAAAGCAATTAAAACATAAGCAATACCACTTACAGCTATAAAATCACATTATCCACAGAACATTCCAGTGATTGTTACACATAGATCCAAATCATCTATTGCACTGTATTAATTGCTGAAGGCTTGGTCACAAAGCCATGTTTTCACTTTTTTTCTGAAAGTCAGGAGGGAAGGGGCTGATCTAATGTCGCTGGCGAAGGAGTTCCAAAACCGAGGGGCCACCACTGAAAAGGCCCTGTCTCTCATCCCCATCGCCCGCGTCTGTGAAGGAGGCGGGATCAAGAGCAGGACCTCTCCAGAGGATCTCAATCTCTGTGATGGTTCATAGGAGGAGATACATTCGAACAGGTAAGCTGGGCCTAAACTGTTTAGGGCTTTATAGACCTAAGAGATCAGATTCCCCAACAATAACAATAAAAGCAAGTATTGTAAGGAAAAGGAGGCAGTATTCTATTGCTGTTTAAAAGTCAAAATACAGAAAGTGTGGAATATAGAATGTTTCTGGTTTACATGAGAAACCGCCCAACCATTTGGGTCTATCTCTCCAAATTGGAGGTCAAGAAACATGCTACTTTTACATTAAATATGGATGCGGAAGCTATAACATGGGTAGCACTGGAAGCTCTTTTTACATAGCACAGCAAATTATTTGGAGGGAAAGAGGGAGAAAGAAACAAAAGAAGCAAAATTGGAACCTTCATCCATGCCTTCCAGCCTACTTGAGTATTTTATTCACAGCCCTGATACCTATCAGATCCAGAAAAAATGAACACATACAAGGTTTGGTTTGCACATTCTGTATTGAAGCCTACAAAATGTATCATCTGCAGCCTTTGCAGTAACACTAGCAGAGGATTAATCATCAGGCACACTAATAAAAGGGAATACAATTGTGGATGTGCACATACACAGGAGTGTGCTCCATTGCTTCAAACATATGACAGACTTGCATTAACCCCTCTCTGGTCAATCTGTGCACTGTGCCAAGGCAGAGCAATGGATGAGGAAAAACTTCTTCCAAAGGCATGCATCATACATACCAACTGGCCACAGAACAACACCCCCTTCGCCCCTCTGCATCTCTTCTAACACACCCCATAGCCGGACTACAGCAGAAAAATCCACCTGAGCAGTAATGAGCTGGGGAGGTTGCCCGGGCATTCATCCCAGCAGCAGCACAGAGCTCTGTCAGGGGATCCCAGATGCGGGCCTGGCATCCACGGCTGCCAGGTGGGCTCCCTGGCTCTGCACAGCACAGGAAAAGTCTAACCCTAGGCTGTTTTTCTTCTGACATGCCTACAAGAGAACAGAAGGCAGCTGGGCTTTTGCAAGAAGCACTACCAGCTATGGGGGCTGAGGCAGCAGGAGCGGGGGAAGAGGATGCAGCCAAAACAAAACAGTTTCCTGCCTAGAATACCTTGCCAACAGTTTACCAAAAAAGTGGGAGACAGTGTTCAACTGACAAGCCCTCGCTGGAAGGCATCTCTTTTCATACCGAGGGTATAAACCACAAGAATAATGTATTTAGAGCGACATCTCAGTTGTTGAAGCATCCGTTCTGGCTGCTCAGGTATCCCATTAGTCCAGGCTCGGTTGTTCACTTAGGATGCCAGATACAGCACAAGCACAGGGCTCTGGAGTTCAGACAGGCAAGGTGATTTCTGGGGAAGGGCCAGAGGTTAACATACCAGCCTCAAGGACATCCTGAGTGGACCCATGTCTTTTCCCTTTCATTGTTCCTTGACAGGCTCAGGTGATGCTCCAGGGTCAATGGGCAGCAGCCCTGCTGTTAAATGTTCCTCCTCAGAATCGGGGCTATCCAGCTGACTGTCTTCCAGGCTGACATCACTCCAATGAGGGACGGGTTCCAGGGAGCCCTGGCCAAGATGGCTTCCTCCATCAGAGCTTCAAGAGAGAAAAGCCATGTTGTTATTATTATATTATATGTTCAGTTTAAGAGGAACTCAAACGAGAGAGAACATGAATTCTTACTCAAGATCTCTGGTTCATTCTGGGTTCCTTGGTTACAACAACAACAATAACAACAACAATAATTTATTTGTACCCCCAACATCTCCCTGAGCGGACTCAGGGTGGTTTCCAGCAAAACTAACAAAATTGCAACATTCAATGCCAAAAACAGACAATAATAAATCATCAGGACTTGCAAACGTATTGTTTTATAGTTACACTCCCAGGCAGCACTGTTAAGAAATTTGTACGAGGGTTGAATGAAAAGTAATGCCTCCACCTTCGTAACTCCTCAACAGATGGCAGTATTGGTATGTGGCAGGTACTGGCTTGTTCAATAGACTCTCCTCTACAGTTCCATTTTGGCGGGAAGCCTTTGCAATGAACCATTGTGTTGTTAAAGTGTGAAGTATGGAACCCTGTGCGGACAGTTGGTCGATGCGACTTAAGCAACGTGCAGTCATTGAATTCTTGACAGCAGAAGGTGTCAGAGAATAGAAGCTGTTTATGGTGATTGTGTTGATATGAGTACTGTGTGTCGTTGGGCGAGTAAGTTTAAAGATGTTGAGGTGGGAACGTCTGACTTGCGAGACAAACAAAGAGTTGGACATCCTTTGATAGCAACCACCGAGTTTCCCAAGCAAAAGGTTGACAGATTGATTCAGGATTATCATCGCATCACTCAGAGAGAAATTTCAAGCATAATTGGCATTTCACAAGAATGTGTGGGTCACATTATTGCTTTGCTTGGCTATTGGAAGATCTGTATACGATGGGTACCCAGGATGAGAGAACTGTGAGACGCTAATTGTGGAAACAGAGTGTCGACTTCTTCCGTGGCTTCAGAAAACTTGTTCATCATCGGTAGAAATGTATCTAATTGTCTGGTGATTATGTGGGAAAGTGAATAGTGGTAGTTAAAAAGCACATTCTAAGGATTATTTCTGTGTTTGATTTATTAAAATATTCCCATCCAAACCCAAGTAACGAAGGTGGAGGCATTACTTTTCTTTCAACCCTCATAAATACAACCTTCCCTCTGTATCCATGGGTTCTGCATCCATGGATTCAACTAATAAGAGCTCAAAATTTACAAAGGATCACCACGGACTACCACCTCATTTGCTTCATAGGAAATCTGCTACGAGCTTTTTTGTTGAGTTCCAGGGCCAGAGAAGCAGATGGCGAAAGAATGGCCTGCCTTAGGGGAGCATGGTTGTGCCATCAATGTTCAACATTTACACAAATGACCAGCCACTGCCAGAAGGGACAGAGAGTGTCATCTATGCTGACAATCATGCCATCACCACTCAAGCAGGAAGCTCTAGGCGCTCTTACTGCCTATTACAGGGAATGCCAGCTGATTCCTGATCCATCTAAAACACAGACATGTGCTTTTCATCTTAAGAACAGGCAAGCATCTGGAGCTCTGAGGATTACTTGGGAAGGAATCCCACTGCAGCATTGCAGTACATCCAAATTACCTTGAACCATTCTCTGACCTACAAGAAGCATTGCTTGAATATCAAACAAAAAGTGGGTGCTAGAAACAATATCATTCGAAAGCTGACTGGCACAACCTGGAGATCACAACCAGAAACAGTGAAGACATCTGCCCTTGCGCTATGCTACTCTGCTGCTGAGTATGCATGCCCAATGTGGAACACACCTCACCACGCTAAAACAGTGGATGTGGCTCTTAATGAGACATGCCACATTATCACAGGGTGTCTGCACCCTACACCACTGAAGAAATGACACTGCTTAGCCGGTATCGCACCACCTGACATCTGCTGGGAAGTAGCAGCCAATAGTGAAAGAATCAAGTCAGTGACATCCCCAGCCCATCCTCTGTTCGGATATCAGCCAGCATGCCATGCCTTAAATCAAGAAATAGTTCTCTAAAATCTACAGAGACAATTGCAGGAACACCTCAGCAAGCGAGAGTCCAAAAGTGGCAGGCTAAAACCCAGCATGGCTAATACCAAATGATAGACTCCCCCGTGGGCACACAGAAGACTGGGCAACTTGGAAGGCGCTGAACAGGCTGAGCTCTGGCACCACGAGATGCAGAGCCAAACTTAAGAAATGGGGCTACAAAGTGGAGTCCACAACATGTGAGTGTGGAAAAGAGCAAACCACAGACCACCTATTACAATGCTGCCTAAGCCCTGCCACATGCACAGTGGAGGACCTTCTTATAGCAACACCAGAGACACTCCAAGTGGCCAGATCTGGTCAAAAGGACATTTAATATAATGCCAAGTTTTAAAATGTTGTGTTTTTTAAATACATTACAACTTTAGCCTTGGTTTGCTAGCTCAAAAAATATTGCCATAACAACAACAACAACAATCATCATCAGGCTTTCATGGCTGGAATCACTAGGTTCTTGTGGGTTTTTCGGGCTATATGGCCATGTTCTAGAGGCATTCTCTCCTGACGTTTCGCCTGCATCTATGGCAAGCATCCTCAGCTACCTCTGAGGATGCTTGCCATAGATGCAGGCGAAACGTCAGGCGAAATGCCTCTAGAACATGGCCCTATAGCCCGAAAAAAACCCACAAGAACCAAACATACCAAGCATTACGCTGATGCGAATACACAACATGCTATAGCCTCCTGCCATTTCACCAATCCTCAGGCTCTCCCCAACATTAGTTTGAGTTGATTGCCATTTTAGAGAAGGGCTCGCCTAATGCCGAGGCTTTGGACTTCAGTTTCCAGAAGCCCCAACCAATTTGTTCTCAATGCTCAGGAATCTGGGAGTTGTAGTCCCCAAAAAACTGGAGGACCAGCATATGAGAACCACTGATCTAATGCAAAGTGTGGTAAAACCTTTCTGAATGCCCAAACAGTCACTGCAAAACCTAAGCAGAGCTATGAATTCAGAAGGCAGTGAAGGGAGAAGAGGGGAGAAAAGAAGAGAAAGCACAGCATTGACCATGAACTGGAAATGACTGCAGACTGGACTGAATGTACTCTGAAACCTATGCTTCACTGCCTTTCTCTCTAACTCAGAAAGCATGATATATATTCAGTGAAACTATACTTTTTCAAGTTATTTTTGTAAAAACTTTGAAGAACAGGAATTTATCTCACTTTCTTCTACTAAAAGTAGCGGTTTTAGCACTGGCCACAAGACCTTGGAGGTGTCTACGGACAACGCCAGCTCTTCGGCTTAGAAATGAAGATGAGTACCAACCACCAGAATCGGACATGACTGGACTTAATGTCAGGGGGAAATCTTTACCTTTTTAGCAAAATTGCATTTTTCTAAGGTTATGGGGAAAGGATTGAGTCAGTTTGTAAAAGAGACTAGTATGGTGCTTAGTCACATGGTTTCTATAAGTATGCCCCCTGGTGGCACAGCGGGTTAAACTGCTGAGCTGCTGAACTTACTGACCAAAAGGTTGACGGTTCGAATATTGGATGTGGGGTGAGCTCCCGCTGTTAGACCCAGCTTCTGATTCAAGTTTATTTGATGCTTAGACCATACACCTTTCACATATAAGCCAAATAAATAAATACATGAAAACCATATTATTAAATACAATATAAAATACACTATTAAACTCCTATAAATAATTAAAATGCTACATATAACAATGGGAAGATGCACTCTTAAAATACTACATACTGCATGGATTAGCACCTGCATAACTAAAAACCAAAAGGTTGCAGGTTTGAATCCGGGGAGCAGTGTGAGCTCCCGCTGTTAGCCCCAGCTTCTGCCAACCTAGCAGTTTGAAAACATACAAAATGTGAGAAGATCAATAGGTACCACTCCAGCAGGAAGGTAACAGCATTACATGCAGTCATGCTGGCCACAAGACCTTGGAGGTGTTTATGGACAACGCCAGCTCTTTGGCTTAGAAATGGAGATGAGCACCAACCTCCAGAGTCGGACACAACTAGACTTAATATCAGGGGAAAACCTTTACCTACTTTTACCTAATTAAAAACCAAGTAAAACCAAATAGATACAGCATTATTAAAACTATACAAACTGCCACTATTAGTTAAAAACATCCCCAACACTGTTGGGTTAAACCGCTGAGCTGCTGAACTTGCTGACCAAAAGGCTTGTGGTTTGAATCCAGGGAGTGGAGTGAGCTCCCTGCTAGCTCCAGCTTCTGCCAACCTAGCAGTTCAAAAACATGCAAATGTGATCATTAGGTACTGCTTCTGCTGGAAGGTAACGGGGCTCCATGCAGTCATGCTGGCCACATGACCTTGGAGGCATCTACGGACAACGCCAGCTCTTCGGCTTAGAAATGGAGATGAGCACCACCCAGAATCTTTTCCCAAGTACAGCCAACAGCCATGCACACTGGGGGATTCTAGCAGCTGTAGTTCAAAAAAGACCCTTTTCCAACCTTTAGAAAATAATGCATGTACTAGGAACTATAAGATGGCATCTGTCCTGTTCACCTGCTGCTGAAGTCCCCTCTGACCAGCAGAGCGGAGTGGCTGTCCTCCTCCTGCACCCAGCCACAGTTTGACATGGCGTAGCGGAGAATGGCGTCCGTAACACTCAGAGGGCCCCGACCTTGGACACAAGCTTCAATCTCTGGTATAGAGAGCTGGCTCTGGAGGAAGAGGTGTAGTTGGCTATCCGAAAGGAGTACAACATTCTGTAGCACCCTAGAAAAGAAAGGAGAGAATGAGAGATGGCAAAGACTAAACATGGGAGACACCACCAAGCACTTCCTGGAAAGATATTTGGCAGATGTCTATGTCCTTATCCTTGTTGGTTAACTCCCAATGTAAGGCAGCTAGATATTTGTCCCCTGTTTATGTCCTTCCATTGCCTTATGGCAGAAAAATCTGCCTGATGGCAGAAAAGAGGGAAAATTCAGAATATCTAAAACAGCTGGCGCAGAAGATGGGTAGGATGCAGCATTTTCGTCCTCTTTTTAAAATCTTTTTGTCAACCTCATTCCCTTTTCTCTCCTTTCTCAAAGAGAAATTCCACAGATATATAAACTCCAACAAACCTCACAATCTCAGCATGCCTGCCATAGATGTGGGTGAAATGTCAGGAGAGAATGCTCCTGGAACATGGCAATACAGCCCGGAAAACTCACAGCAACCCAGATATTAAGTCATTACGCCAACCTACAGGATAAATATAGGTTTCTCCCTTTGCCTGGGGAAGTTTCCAGGGAGTTTTCCTCCATTCAGAGACCTCCCATTGCACACTATGGAAAGCAACGCCCAGAAGGAGGTCTTTCCAGGATGTTCTCCCAAGGACCATAGAACAACAACAATAATAATAATATTCCCCAAGACTATTCCACAAGACCTATCTTTGGGAGCACATTTTAAATCTGCCAGATTGGAAGATTTTCTACTAATTCCCTGATTTTAGTATTGATTTGTAGAAAGCTTCTCTCTGCATATGCAACTTCTTAAATGGCTGACATACAGATTTTATTATTTCATGTATGTTTCTAGCTAGGGTTGTGATTTCTTTGTAAAGCAGGAAGCCAAGGTATAAATATGTATGTATATATGCATACATAAACAAAGTAGAACATAATAAGAAGAAATGCATTCTCAAGCCACTATAAGAAGCCATATCCAAACCCAATCTTTGGGGTGGCTTCTTGTCATGTCTGCTTGGAACACCACATAAATAGAAAATTCCTCAAGCCCCCGAGAATGCTTTAAAGCCATACATTCAAGAAAGAAACAGGTTTGATCCGACTGTCTCCTTCCAGCACTGCGGCTTCTGCTGTCTCCCTGCGTGATCACAGTATGAATCATGCAGTATGAAGTCACTTACATAATGAATCGTTACGTAAGTAGTTTGCCACTAGAGAATCCTTAAGAGTCCATAGTTGGAGAACAAGTAGCCATACCAAAACTGGTTGATCATCAGCTCTAGCCAGCCACGACTGATGGCAAGGGATGATTTTATTTGGCTACTATACGTATTTTATTTTGATGTAATTATTTGTTGTCTGCATTCTGCATTTTGTTTTGTTGTATTGTATCTTTGGGCTTGGCCTCATGTTAGCCGCCCTGAGTTCCCTTTGGGGAGATGGTGGCAGGGTATAAAGATTATTATTATTATTACTATTTTACTGACCCAAAAGCACAGTATGTCACAGTAAATGAGATCTATATGCTGGATTTCGTATCACAAAATCACAAGTTGAATACTTCCCAAGTGTCTAGGACTGTGTGATTTTATTATTATTATTATTATTATTATTATTATTATTATTATTATTATTATCACAATTCAAAGTGCTGGCTTTGGCCTATCAAGCCCTAAATGGCCCCGGCCGAAATTATCTGTTCGAACGCATCTCCCCTTATGAACTATCACGGAGATTAAGATCCTCCGGGGAGGCCCTGCTTTCCGTCCCACCATTGTCACAGGCACGATTGGTGGGAACGAGAGACAGGGCCTTCTCGGTGATTGCTCCCCGACTATGGAACTCCTTTCCTGGTGAGATCAGGTCGGCCTCCTCCCTCCTGTCCTTTAGAAGGATGGTAAAAACATGGCTATGGGACCAAGCTTTCGGGACAGGGCAATAAAGCAGCAATAGGAAAGATTACCAGGCCAATTAGATTTGACGTAGATGACTAGGACGGTTTTAAATGGTGTATTTTAATATTTTGATTTTTTTTTAATTTTTATGTATGTATATAAGAATTTGTGTCCCGGCATTGAATGTTTGCTGTATATATGCTGTGCTCCACCCTGAGTCCCCTTCGGGGTGAGAAGGGCGGAATATAAATGTTTAAAATAAATAAATAATAATAATGGTCTAGAGGTATTCTCTCCTGACGTTTTGCCTGCATCTATGGCAAACATCCTGTTGACCTCACTACCTCTGAGGATGCTTGACGTAGATGCAGGAGAATGCCTCTAGACCATGGCCATATAGCCCGAAAAAACCTACAACAACCCAGTGATTCCGGCCATGAAAGCCTTCGACAATACAAATAATAATAATAATAATAATAATAATTAATTATTATTATTATTATTATTATTATTATTATTATTATATTATGGCAGATACCGTCCAACATCAAAGCACCACCAGTTCCCTAAGCCTTGATTTTGAACAACTGTTGGAGGACAAGGGGTTGCATCAGCTTCCTAAGAGAACTTGAAGGGCCATAACACCAACTCAAAAATATTTTTAAAGCACTTGATCTAAATGTCCCCAAACATTATTATTTTCCATCACAGCTTTTCCCCAGATTTGACTCAAAGTGGCTTATACTAATCAACAAGATATGGAATCATAGCATCCTAGAGTTGGAAGAGACCTTGTGGACCATCCAGTCCAACCCTCTGCCAAGGAGCAGGAAAATCACATTCAAAGCACCCCCGACAGATGGCCATCCAGCCTCTGCTTAAAGGCCTCCAAAAAAGAGCCTCCGCCACACTGCTGAACAGCTCTCACAGTTAGGAAGTCTTCCTAATGTTTTTGCTAAAAAATTAACAACATGCAAAAGTTAAAATACAATTAAATAATTTAAACCAAATCAAAATACATATTTATTTATTTATTTATTTATTTATTTATTTACTTTGCTTTGCTTATATACCGCTGTATCTCAAGCCCGAAGGCGACTCACAGCGGTTCACAAACAGTAGAAACAGTAGAAACAGCAGTGGTTCCATACAACATATAACAATTGACTTAACACATTATCCATAAATTACCAATAAGCAATTACAATGCACAATTATTACAAAAAACAACCGTACCCAATCTTCTCATCATCCAAGCGTAGTCCAGATTCGTTGTCCATTGTTCCATTCCTATGTTCCATTACCAGATTGTACTAAATTACTCAAACGCCTGCACAAACATCCAGGTCTTCACCTTTTTGCGGAATACCATTAGAGATGGTGCTAGTCTAATGTCCGTAGGAAGGGCGTTCCACAGCCGAGGAGCCACCACCGAGAAGGCCCTATCTCTCGTCCCCGCCAGCCGAGCTTGAGAAGCAGGCGGGATCGAGAGCAGGGTCTCCCCGGAAGATCTCAAACTCCTGGTGGGTTCATAGGCAGAGATGCGGTCAGATAGGTAGCTTGGGCCGGAACCGTTTAGGGCTTTAAAGGCCAACGCCAGCACTTTGAATTCAGCCCGGTAGCAGATCGGTAGCCAGTGGAGTTGGCGCAACAGGGGGGTTGTATGCTCCCTGCGCTCCGCTCCTGTTAAAATCATGGCTGCCGAGCGTTGGACATATCATTAAAATGCACACACCAGTACAGTCATTGGCAATATCCAGTGCATTGTGTAAGTAGGGTTAACAATGGTCTCCATGGCTGATCACAAAATCACAGGCTGGTTTGTAAGGGAGACCTTCAAATGACCTGCAGCTAAGCCATGTAAGGCTTTTAAAATTATAACCAGCATGTTAATTGTGCTCATTGATACACCAGAAGGCCCCCAGGCCTTTTTAAAAAGGGGCAATACAATGACCTTAGTCCTCCAAACCATGGCAAGAATGCCCCCATGCCCCCTAGAAGTCATGGTACCCTGAGGGCCATTTGAGACTCGCAGACTTGAAGTTGCCCACCACTCATTTAGAAGAAGTCCTTCCATTACAGGGCAGACTGGGTAAGTCTGAACTGATCAACTTTCCACAAGTTCCATTAGTTTCCTGATAGAATTCTTCCAAAGTGAGATGACCCCTAAGTCTGTTTACACAAAGGAAGAAAGGATGTTCAAACCAAAAAAAGAGAAAATGCAAATGAATCCAACCCCACTTCTACTGCTAGCAGATATGGAAGTCCACCACCTTCCCCAACCACTGCACTACATGTTGATCTGAACATGGTCTCTATTGAGCTTGGTGCCTCCCAACCCCGTTGCTAACCATCTCAAGTCCAGTGTCAGAATCCAGTCTGAAAGGATGGGGAAGTTTCTCCAGTAAAAATGCTGAAGATCCTCTACCATCCATCAGCTTTGATCCCCCCTCCCAACTTTCTACTCACTTCTCCAGAAATTGTTGAAGCCCTTGTCGTCGTTTCTCAATGAATTCATCAGTGCTGCCTGCAAAGAAGGTGGATTTCCCTGGAAGCTCTGGGACTGGCCTGGAAAACAGGATGAAAGGAGGAGAAGCTCAAAAAATGAAGACCACCAGCACTTGATCAGGAGGAGATGGCTCTAGCTTTCTAAGCATGCCTATGGCACTCTAGAAAGCCTCAAACTCCAACCCCCTTGAGCTCAATAGTGAAGAACGATGAAAGTAGCATTTTGTCAACATCTGAAAGGCCAACAGTTCCTCACCTTTATTTCTTCCTTCAGCTCATGACGAAGAAGCATATTTATTTATTTATTGTGTCAAAGGCAAACCGAGTGTATAGTTGCAACGTATTTAAAAACACAAACAAAGTTTAAAATTTGGCATTATACTAAATGTCCTTTGATCAGTTGCTGGCCACTCAAAGTGCCTCTGGTGTAGCTATAAGAAGGTCCTCCATTGTGCATGTGGCAGGGCTCAGGTTGCATTGTAGTAGGTGGTCTGGGTTTTGCCCTTCTCCACACTCTATGTGGTGGACCCCTCTTTGTGGCCCCATTTCTTAAGGCTGGCTCTGCATCTTGTGGTGCCAAAGTACAGTCTGTTTAGTGCCTTCCAAGTTGCTCAGTTTTCTGTGTGCCCGGGGGAAGTCTCTCATTTGGTATTAGCCATGAATGGAGGTGCTGGGTTTTAGCCTGCCACTTTTGGACTCTCACTTGCTGAGGTGTTCCTGCTAGGGTCTCTGTAGATCTTAGAAAATGATTTCTTGATTTAAGGTGTGGGCATGCTGGCTGATATCCGAACAAAGGATGGGCCGGAGATGTTACTGCCTTGGTCCTTTCACTATTGGCTGCTACTTCCCAGAGGATGTCAGGTAGTGCAATACTGGCCAAGCAGTGTAATTTCTCCAGTGGTGTTGAGCGTATGGAGTCTCTGATTCAGTATCAGCCATGGCTTGAGGTTCCTGGTTTTAGCCTGCCACTTTTGGACTCTTGCTTGCTGAGATGTTCTTGCGAGTATAGAGCTTTGGGAAGCATTGAGCTTTTGGAAGCTATTTTGTAAATTATGGTATATTTCCTAATGGCTTGCACAGCCACTAGCCAGTCTTGTAACTCTAATCCAAAAAAATAATAATTTTTCCAAAACTCAAGGGATGCATCTCACATTCTGTCCCCACATAAGACATTAAGAGTTTCCAGTGGAGATAGCCCATGGTTCACTGGATTCAGACAATAACACTTAACAAAGCATGTAAGTGAGATAAACGTTTTCCAAGAGCTCAGACCATTAGATCATGACAGTTCTCTTCAGAGAAAGTCTGGGCTGCTACAAGTTGAACCTGTCAGAAGTTGGATTTATGGGAAAGTTTTTCCCGTTCTAAGGCGCTAGATCAAGGTCACCGCTCAGTTACCCTGAAAGTATCCTTTCTAACTGGAGGAGATGGGGATTGAATTCGCAGCCTTCTGCTTGTAAGGCACGTGCTCTGACAAGGGATTACAGTCCCCTCCCAATTAGGCTAACAGTCTTCCCCACTCTGGTGCCCAGAAGATGTGTTAGACTGCAACTTCCATCACTCTCGGCTACTTTAATAAGAGTGATCTATAAAGCCTTAAAATAAATCTTATGCTGAAATGTATCAGTTAGTCTCATAGGTGCCATTAAGGCCTCTCTCCCCCAATCCTTTCCTTTTGAAAATAAAGTTTTATGTACATTTAAGGGTTAAATTTGATTTCAGAATAGAAGTGGTGGGTGGGACCCCAAAATACTAGCATATTTCAAGCTTACTGCAAGTATCTGAATTTTAGGAGATTTGTTGTCAAAGGCTTTCATGGCCAGAATCACTGGGTTGCTGTGAGTTTTCCGGACTGTATGGCCATGTTCCAGAAGCATTCTCTCCTGATGTTTCACCCACACCTATGGCAGGCATAATCAGAGGTTGAGGGGTCTGTTGGAAACTAGGCAAGTGGGGTTTACATATTTGTGGAATGTCCAGGGTGGGAGAAATAACTTTTGTCTGTTTGAGGCAAGTGTGAATGTTGCAGTTGATTACCTTGATTAGCATTGAATGGCCTTGCAGTTTTAAGGCTTGGCTGCTTCCTGCCCGGGGGACTCCTTTGTTGGGAGGTGATTAGCTGGCCCTGATTGTCTCTTGCCTGGAATTTCCCTGCTTTTTGAGTGTTTTTCTTTATTTACTGTCCTGATTTTAGAGGTTTTTTTAAAATACTGGCAGCCAGATTTTGTTCATTTTCATGGTTTCCTCCTTTCTGTTGAAATTGTCCACATGCTTGTGGATTTCAACAAGCCGCAAGAGTAAAGACAAAGATCCGCCCAGAGGAAAGGTGTTCTTACCAAACCTCAAGGGAACCACTCACCGCACAGGGAAGCTGATGAAGAAACACAACCTACAAACTATCTACAGACCCATTACGAAAATCCAACAAATGTTCAGTTCAGCAAAGAACAAGAGGGATCCTCTAACCTCGGCAGGAGTCTACCATATACCATGCAGCTACGACAAGTCCACATAAGGACCATCAAATGCAGCATTGCCAAAACACGAATCAAGGAACAGGAAAGGCACTGCAGTCTACTTCAACCAGAGAAGTCAGCCATAGCAGAGCACCTGATGAACCAACCTGGACACAGCATATTATTTGAGAAGACAGAAATGATTGACCACTCTAACAACTACAGTGCCAGGTTACACAGGGAAGCCACTGAAATCCACAAGCATGTGGACAATTTCAACAGAAAGGAGGAAAACCATGAAAATGAACAAAAACTGGCTACCAGTATTTAAAAAAACTCTAAAATCAGGGTGGTTTTGAACTATACTCAAAAACAGGGGAATTCCAAACAAGAATCAATCAGGGCCAGCTAACACCTCCCAACAAAGGATTACTCCAGGCAGGAAGCAACCTGGCTTTGAAGCTGCAAGGCTATTCAATGCTAATCAAGGTGATCAATTGCAACATTCACAATTGCCTCAAACGGACAAGAGTTCTTTCCCCATCCTGGACATTATTCCACAGATATATAAACCCCACTTGCCTAGTTTCCAACAAACCTCAACCTCTGAGGATGCCTGCCATAGATGTGGGTGAAACATCAGGAGAGAATGCTTCAGCCTAGAAAACTCACAGTAACCCATTTTAGGAGATTATTTCAACCTTTTAAAAATGTGATGAAAGACACATAAAAGCTATGAAACCACCAATGATGGGGTCTAGGGGCTGTGACCTCCCCCCCCCCCCCCCCCCCCAGGAAATGCCCAAGTGTTGGATTGGTGCCCAAAAAGCTGGATTTAGGCCTGAGGTTCCCCACTTTAGTCTGAAACCCTCTCTTTCATTTAATGCAGTGGTTCTCAGAGGATCCCCAGATGTTTTGGTTTTCAACTCCCAGAAACCCTAACAGCTGGTAAACTAACTGGGATTTCTGGGAGTTGTAGGCCAAAACACCTGGGGACCCACAGGTTGAGAACCACTGATCTAATGTATTTACTTGTCTAACATAGCGTTGCAAACACTTTTGTCTGTTGATGTTACACTTTGAAAGCGTGAGCACATGTGGCTTTTGGAAGATAAAGGCTGTTCTAACGAGACCGTTTAAACACTTACACCAAGCCGGCATTTTTCTGGAGCCGTTTCTTCAACCACACAAACTCACGGTATCGTCGGCGCACGCAGGATGTCTTGGCTGTGAAGGCTTTGCTGTTGGTCTGTATAATGAGACAAAAGACAGTGTTGCTATGGGATTTCGGCTTATCTTTCTAGGCTGTCTCCCTCTGCTGGCCACTGAATTAGAACTAGCTTTTCAAATTATATGTAACATAATATATTTGTATATACATATTATATTTATAGTATCATAATGTAATGCAATATAATACTACTAATAATACCATATTATAATCATATGTTTATATTACATGTAATATTACTAATAATATTACAATATAATGGTATAATACGATATAGTAATAATTAATACTGATATTGTACTATGTTAATAATATATTGGATGCATATATATTGGATGCATATATATATATATATCTTGTAAACTGCTCTGAGTCCCCTTCAGGGTGAGAAGGGCGACATATAAATGTCGTAAATAAATAAATAAATAAAATGCTTTGCTCCATGGTCTGATCCAGCTGTTTTGGACTTCAACTCCCTGAAGCCTCAGCAAACTAGCCAACTATCAAAGTTTGGGGAGCACTGGTTTAATCAGTATGACCATTCAATTAAAAATTGTGTTTGGTCAACTGGCGATAAGGAGGACCGTGAAAGTAAATGGAGGCTTGGTATCTTTGCTTATTGAAATTATTTTTATATTCTTCCTTTTCATTGTTAACATATGATTATTCAACCCAAGGGTGGGATCATGCAGTCTTCCATTGTTACTGCACTGCAGATCCCAAAATCCAAAGCCAGTAAAGCCAATAGTGACAAATGCAAAGATATTCTGTTCAACAGAGTTATTGTACCTAGGAAGTGTATCTCCCTTCTTGGAAGACTTAGAATCATAGAATCATAGAGTTGGAAGAGACCTCATGGACCATCCAGTCCAACCCCCTGCCAAGAAGCAGGAAAATTGCATTCAAAGCACCCCTGACAGATGGCCATCCAACCTTTGTTTAAAAGACTCCAAAGAAGGAGCCTCCACCACACGCCGGGGCAGAGAGTTCCACTTCTGAACAGCTCTCACAGTCAGGAAGTTCTTCTTAATGTTCAGGTRGAATCTCCTTTCCTGTAGTTTGAAGCCATTGTTCTGCGTCCTAGTCTCCAAGGCAGCAGAAAACAAGCTTGCTTTCTCCTCCCTATGACTTCCTCTCACATAAACTTACACAYAGTTATCATGTCTCCTCTCAGCCTTCTCTTCTTCAGACTAAACATGYCCAGCTCTTTAAGCTGCTCCTCATAAGGCTTATTCTCCAGACTCTTGATCATTTTAGTCGCCCTCCTCTGGACACATTCCTGTCAATATCTCCCTTCAATTCCCCAGAATTGGACACAGCATTCCAGGTGTGGTCTAACCAAGGCAGAATAGAGAGGTATCATGACCTTCCCTGGAGCTAGACACTATACTCCTATTGATGCAGGCCAAAATCCCATTGGCTTTTTTTGCCGCTGCATCACATTGTTGGCTCACGTTTAACTTATTGTTCACGAGGACTCCAAGATCTTTTTCACATGTACTGCTCTCGAGTCAGGCGTCCCCCATTCTGTATCTTTGCCTTTCATTCTTTCTGCCTAAGTGTAGTATCTTGCATTTGTCACTGTTGAACTTCATTTTGTTGGTTTTGGCCCATTTCTCTAATCTGTTAAGATCGTTTTGAATTCTGCTCCTGTCTTCTGGAGTATTATTATTATTATTAACTTTATTTGTACCCTGCTAGCATCTCCCGAAGGACTCGATGCGGCTTACAATGGCCAAGGCCACAATAAAACAACAATATAACAATTACATATAAACCAAAAGCAAATAAAAAACATTAAAGCAATAACAGTAAACAGTAAAAACAGCACACCGTGACACAATAAAACTAGGCCGGGCAAATGAACTGGGTACAGACTAAAAAGTGCTGAGTATGCTGAGTGATATAAGGATTTTGGATAAGTGCAATGTGTGGACAATCTTAATCCCTAATAAAGTTTTTGTTATCCCTCCCAATTTGGTGTCGTCTGCAAACTTGATGATCATGCCTTGGACCAGCTGTAGCTACTACTATATCATAACTAGTGTTTGAAGTATATACCACAGCTTAACTGTATATGCTGCCCACACTTACTTAACTGTAATTCTTTCTTTCCCTCGGATTTGAAAGAGCAATAGTACAATCTAACATATGTGAAGCACACCCAGAGCTTCAACCATCCTTTAGTGTACAAGGAAAACTAGAAACAGAAATCTCTTACATCAAAACTTTCCACCAGTAGTGACAAAACATTTATCCCAGGTATGGGCAAACCCAGGACCAAGGGCCGGAGGCGGCCCCTTGGGCTCTTTTCTCAGGCTCTCCTCTCTCTCACCATCCTATCCTTCCTTCTCTTTCCTTCCTCCTTCCCTCCCACCTTCCTTCCCTTCCACCCTTTCCTCTTTCCTTCTCTTTTTCCTCCCTCTCTTCCCTCCTTCCATTCCCTTCAATCCTTCTCTTCTTCCCCTTCTTCCTTCTCCTTTCTTTTCCTCCTGGAGGATGTTTAGCTGGGAGAAGAGAAGGTAGAGAGGGAACATGAGAATAATAATAACAATAATAACTTTATTTTTATACCCTGCTTCCATCTCCCCTAAGGGGAGACATGCCCAACAAAACAAGTTAAAATAATTACTGAAAAACAAAACAATATCACACATCAATAAACATAAAATCAGACAACAATATAAAAACAATTAAAAGCAATATCATGTTCCAAGATTTAAAAGGGTGTCCCATGGAGGAAGAGGAGGGTGGGGGCTGACTTTCTCCTGCTCTAGAGACCAGGGCACAAGGAAGTAATGGTTTCAAATGGCAGGGAAAGATATTTGATTGAAAAGATTAGGAAGAACTTCCTGAGGGTAAGAGCTGTTGGAGAGTGGCATAGGCTGCCTTGGAATGTGGCGGACTCTCCTTCTCTGGAGGCTTTTCCGCCAAAGCTGTCTATTGGGAGTGCTTTAATTGTGCCTTCTTGCATGGCAAGGGTTGGACTGGATGGCCCTTGGGGGTCTCTTCAAGTTCTAGAAGTCTAGGAGAATATATCAGGAGTAGGAAATACGGGGTCTAATGGATACACCTTTTCTCTCCCGTCCACCATCTCACCCTGACCAAGGCTAACCCTTTTGGGATCCAAATGTTTCTGTCTTTCCTTCACTTTTTGCCTCCGAAAGAGAAGAGGAAGAGGAAGAAAGGGCAGGGAGGGGACTTGGGGGAACCCCTTCCCTCCCTCCCAGCCCACCCACCCAACTCCGGCCCACTATGCGGCCCCCAAGTTGAAAGGTTTGCCCATGCCCAATTTATCCATTACAGCTCTTGTCTTTGGGGCTACCTTCAGCTCCAGCCTTTCCATACTTACGTGGAGGAATATTTTGTAGTCCACATAAGAGTTCCAGGACCCCTCGTTTTGCACACGAGGATCTTGGACACGCACAGTAGTCAGTTCCTAGGGATAAACAGGTGGGGAGATTATTGACCAATTAGTTATATACTTCCCATTTCTTCCAAAATTGATAATCAAAGGAAATAATTAAACACACTTACAAGAAAACCAGATTCATTAAAACATGGCAGAATAAAATGCAATCCAAAGGTGTGGGAGGGAACCAGATTAAAAGCCCTTTCTGCAGCTACTCATCATATAATATTTGCAAATAAGAAAAGAAAATAAACTTGTTCTTACTGTTCTCATTATGCTTTTGTAGAATTTGATGATGCCCATCTAGGGTTACCAAATCAAGACCATTCCAGGTTCTGAGCCATCAGGGTAAAAAACTGAGATCTTAGATGGCCCCTGGTAACGTCGTGACAGCATGGCGCATTACACACCAAGCACCAGTGCACAGAGTATGTCATTTGAATAAAAAACATAGTCTAGTATAGGCATGGGCAAACTTCGGCCCTCCAAGTGTTTTGGACCTCTAGTCCCACCATTCCTAACAGCTGGCTGTTGGAAATTGTGGAAGCTGAAGTCCAAAACACATAGAGGGCTGAAGTGTGTCCATGCCTGGTCTAGTAAGTGAGAAAATATAGATACACGCATTAACAATTGAATTGTTGCCAACACTGTGAGCTGAATCCCCTTCAGGGTTGAAAAGGGAGGTATACAAATACCACAAATAAATAAATAATCAAGACAACACTCTCACAGTGACATTTCTCCCACTTGCCCTGGGGATTAAAGGATCCTGGCCCTAATATTTGGGAGAAAGTGCAGCATCTAACCCACTGAATCACATTTTTGTAAAGGCTACATAACCTATTTGGTTATGTAGTATAACTCACATAAATACAGGATTTCTAGGAAGCTTTTAAGTCATGTGAGGAAACAGAAACAAATCTGATCTCTGGTCGCACGCTCTGTTCATGGAACTTCCCGTATTTCATAGTTAATTGCCTTTCTCAGAAAACCAGGAAATATTTTCAGGAAATGAATGTCTTTGTCTCTTGGGATAAAACATGCCTGCCTCTTTGGTCTCCTATACACCGTGCAGATTTGTGTGCTTGCGTGTGTTAGGAGTGACTTGTGAAACTGCAAGTCGCTTCTGGTGTGAAAGAATTGGCCGTCTACAAGGACATTGCCCAGGAGATGCCCGAATGTTTTGATTTTTTACTATCCTTGTGGGAGGCTTCTCTCATGTCCCTGCATGGGGAGCTGGAGCTGACAGAGGGAGCTCATCCACGCTCTCTCCGAATTCGAACCTGCAACCTGTCAGTCTTCAGTCCTGCCAGCACAGGGACCGTGCAGATGAGAAGGACCAGGAAGAGCTTATCGAAATGCGAAACACTCTCCTTCACCAGGATTGTACAAATCCCACCTGGAATGTCCTATAATATGTGGCTTCCAACATTACATGCCCTAATATCCCTTCCATCACCATTCCTTTCCATACAGATATTGCAGGTAGTGAGTGAGAAAAGCAAAGGATTAATTCTGACACAGTTTGATACTACATAAAATGCTATGGCTCAATGCTATGGAATCCTGGGAGTTGCAGTTTGGTGAGGCACCAGAAAACCTTGGCAGAGAAGGCCAAAAACCTTGTAAAACTACAGCTCTCATTATTCTATAGAATTGAGCTATGGCAGTTAAATTGATGTCAAACTACGCATAATATTTGTGAGAATCTCTATGGGAAGGATTTTTCATCCGTTCCTACAAAGAGCCCATTCTCCCGCAAAGAGCCCATTCATTAATTAAATCATTAAATTGAAACTATCATTTAAAATGACTAAAAAATCACCCAAAGGGATAAAGTACCTGAAAATCTAACCAATCAAAGTAATGAAAAACCATAATGGTCAATCAAAAAATACCAAGATCAGCCTTTAAAGCTTAAATAAAACATTTTAATGGTTGGAATGTTTAACAAATTAGGTTAGCATATTAATTTTTAACAAAAAAAAATGGTCATTTCAAACATTCAAGTTAAACTATGCCATATAGCCATGTCTCCCAACCCTGCTATATGCCTGAGAAATGTGGACTATCTACAGACGTCACATGCAACTCCTGGAACCATTCCATCAAGGTTGCCTCCGAAAAATCCTGCAAATTCTTGGGAAGACAGGCTGACAAATGCCAGTGTGCTGGAAGAAGCAAAGACCACCAGCATTGAAAGGATGGTCCTCTGCCATCAACTCCACTGGACCAGCTATGTTGTCCGAATGCCCGATCACCATCTCCCAAAGCAGTTGCTCTACTCCAAACTCAAGAATGGGAAAAGGAATGTTGGAGGACAGGAAAGATAGGCTCAAAACCAACCTTAAAAACTCTGGCATAGACACCGAAAACTGGGAAGCCCTGGCCCTTGAGCACTCTAACTGGAGGTCAGCTGTGACCAGCAGTGCTGCAGAATTTGAAGCGGCACGAATGGAGGACGAAAGAGAGAAACGTGCCAAGAGGAAGGCGCATCAAGCCAACCCCAACCAGGACCGCCTTCCTCCTGGAAACCTCACTGTGGGAGAACAGGCAGGTCAAGAACAGTACTACATAGTCACCTACGTACCCACCGCCAGGACACTGAACTTGGAAGACAATCTTACTCGGACAATGAGGGATTGCCTAAATAAGTAAGTACAGCCATGTCTGCTAAGCTTCAGGTCTTACCTCTTGTTCTTGAGAGTCTAACATCCTACAAACACAATTCAGAGGAAAGCATCTGTAAAGAGCAAGAAAGGGGTGCAGAATTAATACACAAGTATAAGTTGATAGTATAAACCATTTGAATCTTATCCGTTGAGTTATTGGACAGAATAAGAGGCTTCTTCAATGGGGCAGGAAATCGAGTATTTGCTGAACATTTCCCCTTTTAAACAAAATAAATGAGGAAATCCTTCTAGTCATTGCGGCTATATTTCGGAGCCGCATAAGCCAACCCTTTGTTTCCTCCATGGCATGAGGACAAGCAGAGAGTTGCACCACTTCTGTACATGTAAAATCAATAAGAATGTAAAGTCAGAGTATTTTTGTCAGGATGAGAAGGAAGCGGTTTGCTGTAAAGTGATCTCCTTACCTCTTACTTTCTCCTTTAGCTCATCTTCCCTTGTGTGCCTTGTCTTGTTAGGCCCCTTCCATACAGCTGAATAAACTCCCACATTATCTGCTTTGAACTGGAATATATGGCAATGAGGACTCAGATAACCCAGTTCAAAGCAAATATTGTGGGATTTTCTGCCTTGATATTCTGGGTTACATGGCCAGTGTGGAAGGGCCCTTAGTCTCCAAGTCCAAAGGCTTTGTTTCCAATTTGTATGGTTTGGGATGCTTGCCCTGCTCTGCAAGGCGACATTGATCTGAGAAGCCAATTACAACATAAAGGCTTTCAGAAGTCCAGATGGCTTTTGAATAAATAAAATACACTGATGAACTTGCACAAGCTTCCAAGGAAAATAGGTGGGCAGAGGAGGCCAAGTTTGCTGTTGCAGTGTTCCTTTGAGTCACTTCTGATCAATGGTGACTCTAAGGCAAACCTAATGGGAGAAGCCTGGCTCAAGAGCAGTACGTGTGAAAAAGATCTTGGGGTCCTCATGGACAACAAGTTAAACATGAGCCAACAATATGATGTGGCGGCAAAAAAAGCCAATGGGATTTTGGGCTGCAAGAATAGGAGTATAGTGTCTAGATCCAGGGAAGTCATGCTACCCCTCTATTCTGCCTTGGTCAGACCACACCTGGAATCACAGCGTATCCAATTCCGAGCACTGCAATTGAAGGGAAATGTTGACAAGTTGGAATGTGTCCAGAGGAAGGCAACTAAAATGAGCAAGGTTCTGGAGAACAAGCCCAATGAGGAGTGGCTTAAAGATTTGGGCATGTTTGGCCTGCAGAAGAGAAGGCTGAGAGAAGACAGCCATGTATAAATATGTGAGGGCAAGTCATAGGGAGGAGAGAAGGGCCTCCCCGGAAGATCTACGAATCCATGACGGTTCATATGGGGAGATGCAATCGTGGAGATAGCATTTGCCATAAATCCAAAAGGACTTGAAGGAACAACAAGATGAACAGAGAGGTTCTTGTTCTCTTTAGGTTTTTTTAGGGTTTTTTTTGTCGTGTCAGGAGCGACTTGAGAACTGCAAGTCGCTTCTGGTATGAGAGAATTGGCCGTCTGCAAGGACGTTGCCCAGGGGACGCCGAGATGATTTGATGTTTTTATCATCCTTGTGGGAGGCTTCTCTCATGTCCCCGTATGAGGAGCTGGAGCTGATAGACGGAGCTCATCCACCTCTCCCCGGAATTGAACCTGCGACCTGTCGGTCTTCAGTCCTGCCAGCACAGGGTTTAACCCTGTGCCACCGGGGGCTCCTCTTTAGTAGTTTAATTACTCGTATCCACAGAGATACGAGCAATTCCGCAAAGTCAGCAGGGAGCTCCAGGGCTGGCAGTAGGTTTGGGCCTTGGCAAATGCCCAGTGATGCCATAGTCTGATGCTGGCCCTACAGTTTTCAAGCCACACTATGCCATGGCAACAAAGCCTGAATCCATCTTCAGATCAGGCCATTTAAAAACACTGCAGGAACAAAAGCTGGAGATGTTACTTCACAATGTGTGCTGGCTGGAAGATTCTGGGACTTTTAGTCCAAAAAGAGTAACTTCGCCAAGCTATATTTTAGAATAGCAGTGAACTCAGTCAATAGCCCTATATATATATATATTGCAGAGTTTGAACCTAGTGTTTGATTACAATAGGGTTTGCACTCAGTCAATAGCCATATATATATAGATTATAATAGTGCAAACCCTATTATAATCAAACACTAGGTTCAAACTCTGCAATATATATATATATAGATATATAGATCCAGGGAAGTCATGCTACCCCTCTATTCTGCCTTGGTCAGACCACACCTGGAATCACAGCATATCCAATTCCGAGCACTGCAATTGAAGGGAAATGTTGACAAGCTGGAATGTGTCCAGAGGAAGGCAACTAAAATGAGCAAGGGTCTGGAGAACAAGCCCTATGAGGAGTGGCTTAAAGATTTGGGCATATATATATATGCGCCCAAATCTTTAAGCCACTCCTCATAGGTTCAAACTCTGCAATATATATATTGCAGAGTTTGAACCTAGTGTTTGATTATAATAGGGTTTGCACTATTATAATCTTGCCCAGAAAACTTCAGTGATATGGTCTTAGGGTCATCATTAGTTGGAAACAGCTTGAGGGCCTGTAACAACAAAATGTTCAAGAAACACGATAGATTTAACTCCTGAAAGCAAAGGAAAGGTTTACATACTAAAATAATGGGACTCCCTTTGCTTCTGTCCCTCAAGGCAAGAAGGATGCGTATTTGCAAACTATCTGTGTCAAGTACTAATTATGCTTATCTGACCTGCTTTTATTTCTGTAGCACCTCTACTGCCTTCTAAAAACAATTTACAAATGTTACTGAATCTCCCATAATGGCCTTGTTAAGTAGGGTTACAATTGGTCCCATTTTACCCTCAAAGTCTCCCCAGACTGTCAGGAAAATGCCATTAAGAGGGCTTTTGTGATGAATATGAAGGTACTAGCGGAGATTGAATAGTCTAAATCACTTCTTTTAGTCGGAAAATGGAGCAGATTTCTAATCCTCCACAGTTAGCTTGTTTTTGTTTATACTGGATCTGCAGCCAAAATTGAGAAATTATATGGTCATCATAAATTCACCTTAGACAAAGCTATAAAAGCCAAGAAAGTCAACTTTTTAAAAAGATCTGAGCAAAGTCTAATATGAAGGATAACCAACTTGTGTGGATTACATAAGCAAGCATGGTAGGAGTTTATGGAATTGCAATCTGGGGAATAACAGGCGACCTGCCACCAATCTGAAATTTAATTCCATCTTTCAAATTCAGTAGGATTTCCCCTCAGGATCTGGAAAATCAGTTTATCATGGCACATATGCAGAGTGCGCTGCTCCCCATCTAAGTAAGCACTGTTACTATCCGAGCAGCTGAGCCAGAGAGTAAAATTCCAATATCAGAAACCATGAATTAATTCTAAATATATTTTAGTGCCAAAATAAAACAGAGAAATGAAGGTATTTTGTAATCTGGGTTTTATATAATGTGTTGATTTATTGCCTATATGTTGGGTTGTGGGATGAGGGTTTTTGTATTATGTACTAAAGTGAGGTTTTTTTGTACAGTGCTTTGAGTCCCATTCGTGGGAGAAAAGTGGGATATAAATAAATAAATAAATAAATGGGCACCATACACTGCTTTGTGGGATGCAATTTTTTCACTGCTTATTCATTTCCACTAAGTTTGAAAGTGTGAACTGTGCTCTTCTTCAAATCTTTTCCAAAATAAAAGTTGTCCCTTCCATTTTCAGGAGCAGACAGGTCAATCCCTGCGCCTCATCTTTGAGCAGTCATGTGGCTGTCAAATAATAATAATAATAATAATAATAATAATATTACCATTCTATATATTTTTTGCTCTACTTATTTCCTACTTTTCTATCTTCTTCACAATATTCTCCCACTTTCCATGTAACTATATATTCTACCAATACAAATAATTTCAAAATAATAATCATAATAATATCTTTATTTTTATACCCTGCCAACCATCTCCAAAGCCACCGAGATGAAAATATTTGGATAAACTATGCCTTCAACAAGCCTATCCTGTCCCTTGGTTTTAAAACGGACTCAACTGGTTAAGAACAAAGCTTGGGAAAGTTACTTTTGGAATACAACTCCCACAATCCCCTAGTCAAAGCATCACCTTGGCTAGGTGTCCAGGAAATAGTAGTTTCCCTGGACACCCAGCCAATCATATGCAGCTTGAGCATGCTTTATATGGAATTCCAAAACTGCCACAGAAGTGCTGAGACAGCATCACCTTTGGTTTCTAATGGATCACTATACACCATCTTTGTTTCATGTAGACAATTATTTAAAATATTGTGTATAAAATTACTGTATCTTCAGGCTATGTGTATAAGGTGTATATGATACACATAGCCTGAAGGTAATTTTATACACAGTATTTATGCTAGTCTATGATCATAATAAAGAAAGATTTGATGTCTATGAAACATAAATAAATTTTGTGCTTAGACTTGGGCCTCATCTCCAAGGTATCTTCTTATGGTAAAGAGGTAAAGGTTTCCCATGACGTTAAGTCTAGTAGTGCCCGACTCGAGGGAGTGGTGCTCATCTCCATTTCTAAGCCGAAGAGCCAGGGTTGTCCATAGACACCTCCAAGATCATGTGGCCGGCATGACTGCCTGGAGCGCCATTACCTTCTCGCAGAAGTAGTACCTATCTACTCACATTTGCGAGTTTTCGCACTGCTAGTTTGGCAGAAGCTGGGGCTAACAGGGAGCTCAGCCCGCTCCCCGGATTCAAATTGCCAACTTTTCGGTCAGCAACTTCAGCAGCTCAGTGGTTTAACCCGCTGTGCCACCAGACAAAATAGTTGTTTAATAAAACAGGTCAAGGAGACCACCTCAATTCTCAGGATTCTCAGGATAGAGGTGCTGGTCATATTACTTAGAAATATATCTACTTTTCTCATTTTAAGCAACAAGTTCAGGATATCAGACACCCTCAAGACTTAAGAAGGTATCGCTGAAGGTCTTGGCTCCATATTATGGAATTGTGGGGTTTATTTAGTGGGGTACTTAGAATTCTCTGCTAAAAAGTTTTAGAACTGAACTGAACTAAA